AAGGATTCAGCCAGAACGTCCCGCTTGCTTCTCGTACCTCGAAGACGTTTCCCGTCATCCCGTGCAGCGCGGCAACCCATATAGTTAAAGATAAAGATATATTTACTCAAGGATTCAGCCAGAACGTCCCGCTTGCTTCTCGTACCTCGAAGACGCTTCCCGTCATCCGCCGACCCCTTGGGTCATCGGCGTGTGAGATGCTTCCCCCTCCCCAAACCCCTCCCCCGGGAACCCGGTCCGGTCGATTTGGAGGGGGGGGGGGGCCGACTACGAGCGACTCACGACGCTCGTCCGGACCCAAAAGGGCCCAAATACGGGCCAAGAAGGCCCCAAGAGGCCTCCCAGACGTTCCAAGAGGCCCCCAGACGCCCCAAGAGACCGCCTAGACGCCCTAAGAAGCGCCCAAGAGGCCCCAAGAGGCTTCCAAGACGCCCCACGAGGGCTCCAAGACGCCCGAAGAGACCTCCAAGACGCCCCAAGAGACCTCCAAGAGGCCCCCGAGGAGCGCCCCAAGAGGCCAAAATCGTTGATTTTCATTGTTTTTTTTTATGTTTTCGTCATTTTCGCCTTTTCGGCCTTCCGACGCTCCAAGACAGCCCAAAAAGCTCCCAAGACTGCTCCAAGACGGCACAAGAGGCCTCCACGACGCCCCCAAGACGGCCCAGGAGAGCCCCCAGACGGCCCAAGAGCCGCCCAAGGCGGCCCAAGAGAGCCCCCAGACGGCCCAAGAGCCGCCCAAGACGGCCCAAGAATCTCCCGGAGACGGGCCCAAGAGGGGCTCCAGAGAGAGACCACGCACCGGAAAACCCAGCCTTACGCCCCAAGAGGCCCCCAGGAGGCCCCAAGAGGCCCCAAAGAGGCCCCAAGAACCCCCCAAGAGGCCCCCAAGACGTTCCAAGAGGCGCCCAAGAAGCCACAAAGAGGCCCCAAAACGGCCCCCAAGAGCCTTCGAAACTGCTCCAAGAGGCCCGCAAGAAGCCCCCCCGCAAGATCCCAACGGACATCTCCGAACACACCGGTTTTTCGAGTCGCGCCCAGCCCCATAACCCGGAGCCTCATCTCAGTGTCCCCCTCCTCCTCCTCTTCCTCCTCCTCCTACACTTCCTCCTCGTTCCCCTCCTCCTCTTCCTGCCCCGCTTCAGCTCATCCTCACCGATGCTTCTCCCCCCCATTGTCCGCCTCACCCCCCATCCTCCTCTTCCCGTCCTCCCTTTTCTGCCCAGTACGCGCAACCGAATGGGCATCATTTGCACGTCTTGCACTTTAGGGTGCCCTTCTTTGCGTCGCGAGGGACATTGTGCGGGTCGGGGAACGCCGACTTTGGTAGTCCTCTCTTGCACGCGCCGCTGCAGTGATAAGCCTGGCAACTGCGCGCTGTGAACCCGACTTCCTCGCAGTTTCTGCACACCACTTTAGCTCCTGTCGCCGCTCGATGATGTTCCACTTGCTTCTGCTTCAAATGATTCGTGTCCGAGAACGCGCCTTCGCACGCCGCGCACGTCAGCGGCTTCGCGTCCGCCTCTGCTTTCCGCTTGCGATTCTCTGCATCCGCCTTCTCGTTCCGCCCACCCTTCTCGTTGCGGGCGCACGCCCTGCAAAGCCTCTCCCCCGCATCTTTCGAGTCGTACTGGCTCGGGGGATAAAGTCGGGCCATGACGCCCCCAAGACGTCCAAGATTGCCTCAAAAAAAACAAGGGGTCGGCGGTGTGGCGTAAGCCTAAAGATCCTGAGAAGAGCCCAGGAGACACCCAGAGAGGTTTAGAGCGATGCCCAGGGATGGGATGCAGAAGCACATCCTATGTAGCATTGCGTGCTGGTGTTGGAGGCGCACGTCAGACACGATCACATGATCAGCATCACTTATAATACAGATATGCATATATATATATATATATATATATATATATATATCATATACATATATATATATATATACATATATATGTATGTGTATATATAGATACCTATACGACCACCCTGTGGGTGATAAGGAGGGGGGGGGGGCAGCAAATGGCTGCGGTCCGACAGCAAATGGCAAATGGCTGCGGTCCGACAGCGACAACGGCGGAACAGCATACAGCATGGCATGACGATGCGCCTTTCGATTTGCAATTGGATTTGCATATCGCATACCGATGTGCGTGTCGGTTTGCTTGGCGATCTGCATCTCGACTTGCATGTCAACTTGCATTGGAACGCTCGCCGCAAGCGGCGATTCTTTTTTAATACGCAACCCACGGCGCCTTACGATTTGCATTTGGATGTGCATGTCGATTTGCATTGCGACGTGCTTTTCGGTTTGCATGTCGGTTTGCATGTAGACTTGCATTGGATAGCTCGCCGCAGCTACGGCGGGACACCAGCGGGACACTAGCGGGACACCGCGGGGCACCGTTTGCCGGGTGGAGAGACTTTTGGTCCGGCCGCGGCCCGGTCACAGGAGGATTTCGGGACACCAGCGGGACACCAGCGGGACACCGCGGGCCACCGTTTGCCGGTGGAGAGACTTTTGATCCGGCCGCGGCCCAGCCACAGGAGGATTTCGGAACACCAGCGGGACACCAGCGGGACACCGCGGGCCACCGTTTGCCGGTGGAGGGACTTTTGGTCCGGCTGCGGCCCAGCCACAGGAGAATTTCCTCTCGCCCGCCCATGCAGCTTGGCCTCGCCTCGCCCGCACGCACGCACGCACGCACGGCACGCACGATACGAACCCGAAACCGAAATCGATTTCCCGGTAGGGGAGGTCTCCGTTTCACGTCGGACTCACCCCCCAACCTCCGATATTCCTCTTTCTATATTTTTACAGGCCCAAGCGGGGGGACCCCCCCCCAAAACCGGACTCCAGGGATCTGGGGCTTTGGGACCCTCCGGACGGGCCTCGAAGCGGCCCCCCGGGCCTCGCAGGGCGTTTTGCCAAACCTTCCCAGCACATTCAGGACGATCAGGGGGGTAATCGGAGACGTTCCAGAAACCCCCAAGACAGCACAAGAGCGCTCCAAGAGTGACCGACGTGACCTCAAGATGGCCCAAGAGGCCTCCAGGACGGCCCCAAAGAGGCCTCCAAGAGCAATCCCAAGAAGGCCCCAAGAGGCAAAAATCATTGATTTGGCAATTGGTTTTTGGTGAATTTGGGGGTTCTCCTCTTTTCGGCTTCCCGACGCTCCAAGACGGCGGTCTCCTGGGAGTCCGAAGCCGCCTGAGAGGCTCCAAAATCGCCCCACAACCATCCGAAAGGGCTTCCAGGCAGTCAAAAGAGCCCCAAAACGGCACAACACGGGTCCAAGATGGCCCTCAGAGAGCCCCATGGCGGCCCAAGATGGTCCCAAGACACCCTCCGAAGCATTCCAAATTGTCACCCGGTCGTTCAGGGAGACCGCGGTTGGAGGCAGGGTAGCCCGAGGAACCCCGCAGGGGCCCCCAGAATACGCCCAGGAGGTCTCCAGAAGGCCTTAAGAAAGCCTGAAACAGCTTTTGTGAGGCCCCCAGAGAATCTCCAAGGAGGAGCCTCCGCAAAAAAGAGCTGAGGAGGATGGGGAGAACGCGCAGGATATGGCGAAAATGAAGAAAAAGAAGCATGGAGGAAGGATAACGAATTACATGATTGTTGCGGCGATGCTGGAAAAGGCAACAAGGAGTTATCGCTAAATTGTCGGCTTGACCTTCCTGCCAGTCCGCCTGCAAAACAATTTTCAAGGACCAAGGTGCATGGCGCGAAGCGCCACTGCAGTTTTGTATATACTGTATACAAAATGCATAAAAAAAAATGTATAGAAACACGTATAAGCATATGGAAATGTGTTTGCTACTGTATGTGCACATGTATACGTGTATGGATGTGTAAAGGTGTAGGTATGTTTATACGTATGGATGCAATACATGCATACATACACACACATACATACATACATATACATACAGACAGGCATACATACATACATACGCATCCATCCATACATACAGGCATACTGGTAGACAGACAGAC